AGTGGCATTTTGCAAATGAACATTCCTAAATGGCATTCTTGCAAATGTGCCCAGATAAAAAAGAATTTTTGCAATTGCTCCTTTTCTTTTTAATTTGAGAAACTCTATGGAGTCCTCATATATGGAAAGACAATTGTCAATTAATGATTAGTTCAAAAACTATTTATTGATGACTCAATCGAGACAGTCCCCATGGTTTCTCTGCCGTATGGGTTTGGCGGAAAATGCACATCGAGAAAGAGAAGATGACGTCATAATAGGGACACGTGTCCAACAGTGATTGTCGGAACAGTTGTAAGAGTTTGGTCTATTTGTTGTTGCAACCCCTGACGCGGCGATGAGACTCTGCCACACCACATTTAATGCTTCCTCGTTTTATTCAACTTTCTTTCACTAATCAAACACAGAGATCTCCACATTTTTCATGGTATATATGATTCGACGCTTTCAATTTTTGTATTTTCTTTTCTTGTTTTTGTTTAAATAACTTTTTACAACTAGAACATGTTTGTTGATTTTTCAAAAGATTACTGCATGATGGTTCTAACTTGAATTTTGAAACCTCATACAAACATAAAGTAGTTCAAACTAATTTTTAAAAATTAATCATATCTAAAATAAATAACTATGAGGTCAATTTAAACTAATACTATAAAAACTCTATATGAAGTAATTACATTAACTAAGGCAATATAAAAATTATATGAAGTAAATAGTTAATACTTTAGAAAAATTACATGAAAGAAAATGAAACAAAAAAAATTAGACATATAAACATAAATAAGAAATATTAATAGATAAATGTTTTTCTTTTAACGAAAGCATTGACTTGTTGATGATGGTTTTTGTGAATATTGTCATGTTGGGAAAGTTTTTATATTGGGCCAAATTGTGCCTAATCAGTGAACAACCCAACTATGCGCAGGATTACAGAAAGAAGGCTCTGTAACTAGAACCAATTGGCCCAATAGAGGCCCATATTTTAAGCCCATTAGTGACCGACCGACCTAGCTACCTACCCACTCGGCTTTTACATTTATCCACACCTTGTTGACTGTATCATCGACTCCATTTAAAGGCTACTTCTCATGGTGGTATGAAAGCATCGATCAAATATAGTCCCATACTTCATCACAATTATTCACATTTTACTTTTGCAAAAAATGACAGATTTTGTATGAAAGTTTATAACTCACTTTTAAAATCCTTGACAAATTTGCTACGCCACGAGTTTGCTACTAATATAAAACACCTGTTGCCAAATGTCGACGGTCCAGAATTATGAATACAAGTAGACGAACGATAAAACATTATTACAATAATAATTCTAAAAAAAAAGACAAAAAACTCAGAAATTTCATGCCAAGTTTTACACCTCAATGAATTACGTTGTTTCGCTAAGATTTCACCACGTGTCGAAGTTTTCATTCGACCTAGATGGATACCCCTAGGCCCCACATGGATAGACACATGGACACGCTCATGTGAAGCCATAGCATCATCATTACCAAACCACATGGCTATGCGTCACGTGCGATCGAGACATCCACTCCGCTAACCCTCTGGCTCGTGTCCCCGTCACTCCTTCCTACGATTCCGTCTCCGGCGCCGACGGTTCCATCAAACACACCGCCGTTAATTTCTTAGACGACTGTTACTTCTCCGATCT